GGTTTCTGTCCATTTCTATTTCATTGAAATGAGGTGTCGGGTCAACATAAAAGTTAGTTTTCGACAACTTACAGAAGAAGCTCCAAACTCATGATATGTATGATCAAGCAAAGGTGGTTCTCATGACACTTTGAAGTTGGTTCAAGCGATCGGGAGACGGGAATTCGGACCTCCTGTAAAACAGCATCGCGTGGGAGGGGGGGGGCTTTTGGGGAGCTGCAGAACCTACCCACAGATTTTTGAATCGGCAAAAAAGTCACTTTCTTCATTGACTTTCGAGGCGCTATAAGTTACACTTTATTAAATTCTGATCGGACATTTCTACCACCATATTAAAGAGCATATTAAATACTATCATGACACTCCGCCACAGCCTTCTGGACGAGCGCCATCGAGAGATTCTGGCACGCGACCGCGATGTGGTGCCTGAGATCAGCGAGATAGTCGATTTCTCCGCCACCGTAGACCACCCTATTGAGCTCCGCCCGAACCGGGTAATTGAGGGGTTTAGGTCAGGTGACACTTAGATATTCCATCTTCTTTAGGTACTCAGCCCCCTTCCATTCCAAGTAGGCGAGAGTTTCTCCAACGCCCTTCGATTCCATGTGGTGGCACCCAATGCTGTAGCAGTACAAAGTTTCCAAGAAGGTACGGGCGACGACATGTGAGGAGGATATTCTTCTCGAGTTGCTCGATGTAACCGCCAGCGCTCAGTCCGGGGTCCACGAAGAAAATATCGGTCTTTCCATTCCAGGTACGTCCGGTCCATACCATCAACCCGCGCCTTGGCGACTGCGGTGAAGATGATGTCCTAGACCGTAGCGACGTTGTCGGAGCTGCTCGATGTTGGAGGTCTTCCAGATCGAGAGTACTGGTCTCCAGGTAGCTATCCATGGGTGACTCCATACTAGAAGTTTCGCAGCTGTTTGGAGGTGACATGAATTCTCCAGTCAGGCTGCGACTGGAGATGACTTCATATTTTGGTGTACATGAAGGTGATGGGCGAGAGCCAGCTCCTGCTTATAGAGGAACATCTTGGGTATCTTCCGCCCTGGTACTCGTATCCACGTCCTCTGTCTGGGCTGCGAAAACTTTGCTGATATGTGACTCGGTCGAAGTGACTTTTTTGCCCTTCTCCCCTGTATATGTGTGAGGCAAGGAATTCTCTGTAAACCTGTATAAACTTAATGGCAGAACTTTTCATCTTTGGAGGGATATTTCCAGTGAGAAAAAAGGCCATACTAATGAGCCGACCCAACAGATAATAATGAAAGCAACAAAAAAGGCAAAGAATTAAGTCGCAACTGCTCGTGTGATTATTTTGGTTAGCATTGGCTCTAATGTTGCTTGCGGTTGCTAGAGTAGTCTTGGCGTGCGATTTTGTTGGAGCAACAAAGAAAATGAAAAAGAAGTTAGTCAAAAAGAAGCCATACTAAGAAGCCAAACACTATCTACGCACTGAAGCCATTCGTTGCAGAATCACCCTGATAGACGGGAGGTGGAGGTGGCCACTGATACTCCATTTTCCTGGCCGGAATATGCTTCTGTAGGACCTCCACTTGCTGTTGAGAATGCTCCTCACTTTCAGCTGGTGGCCATTGTACGGTTGGCATATGATGAGGGCCTGAAACACAGCTAACTTCTAGAGGAAGTGTTCAATGCAATCGTAATGCAGCAGTGACCTTGATATAGACTTTGGGCGGTTTCGCCTTCTGGAGGAGGCCAAACGAGATCGATTTTCGATTTTCTTTGCCAGCCAGTAGATCTGATGACCTCGTTCTGCTCCTGAAACATAGCAAAAAATTATTAAGGTGGAACAGCATACTTCTGCTCGGGAAAGTGAAAAAAAGCTCCTGTAGGCCTAAATTGACGCGGGACGTATTAGCGGGATGTGGAACTGTCAGTGTCTTTACGAATTCCCTCAAGCAAGCACCAAAAAATAGGGAAAAAACGACTTTCCCTTATCTCAGCTCAC